GCGAATTAAAATTCAGCGGCTCCGCTGGCTTGGCCATGTCGTTCGGATGGACAGAAACGCTCCTGCTCTGAAAATATTCAACGCGGGCCGCGATGCTGGTAACAGAGGAAGAGGAAGGCCTCCTCTGCGTTGGAAAGACCAGGTGGAGAAGGACTTGGCTTCACTTGGCATTTTCAATTGGCGTCAGTTAGCACAGAAGAGAAATGACTGGCGTGCTGTTTTGGACTCGGCCAAAATCGCTTAGGCGGTTACAGCGCCAAATAAGAAGAAGAAGAAGAATGAAAAAATCAGCAAGGAAGAAATTCACTTACTTATTTACATATATATGTATATATTTGTATGGAGGTGGTGAAAATGCAGTGAATTTGTATGGGTAGGGTGGTAAAAAAACTACACATTGCACCGGAAAAATGTATGTATTTATAACAAGCGGAGATGCCTTATTTCACAACGCTTGCCAAAATCTGGCATGTCAGCTAGTTAAAAACTGTTAATGCTATACTAACCATGAAGTTTTCTAAAGTTTCACTTTATTATATGTGCTCACACATTATTGACAAAGATTGCATCTGAAAGCTGTTTATTCCAATAACACATTGGCAGCAATCCAAGGGTTTAGTGCAATGTATGTATGTGTATGTATGCATACACCTTATTCGCTAATCTAGGTTGATTTATTTATATTTGTCAGCTTATTTATATTTACCACAAACTCATTTTGGCGCAATGTCAAGCGAGCAATCAATGATTTTTTTACTTGCGGTGTGTACGCCCCTTAAGCTTTTAAACGGATTTGGCAACACTACTGACATTTGAAAGGAAGTAGTTATTGGCAAAGGATATATTACATGAAAGTATTTGAGAGAAAATACGCTTTAAATTTTCAAATGAATTGAATTAATTCCGAATTCAACATTATTTTTATTAGAAGTAAATAATTAATATTAGAAGATTATAAACAACTCTATGCTTCCATGCGAATGTTTTTCATTGCGAATTCTGGAGATTGGATTACCTGGAAGCTAGGAGGACCTTAGAACCCGTACTGGTGACCTAAAAGCACATAAATGGCCGATTGAGTTACAATATTGGTAATATGATCGTTGTGATGGGACAAACTGCTGCTGTAGTGAGCTGGAAATCTCTGACCTTATGTCTTATAAGCGTTAGACTCATATACTACATTCTAGACCGAAATGCGACTCTATTCAGAATGTAGAACATAATACCCTCTAAATAGCACAGCAAAATAAGCGTTGTCGCCACGCTTGCTTCTAAACTGAGCATATGTATGACATAAGTGACATATTTCTATTATTGTGTACATACTACATCACGTCCTTCATTTGCATGTGAACGATAGCAACGCACGACGACATGTCATTAAAAGTAGTCACAATCGCTTAATCAGCTAATTCTACTACTGTACTACTCATTATCCATCAGCCGTAATTAAGCTCAGCTCGCACAAAGAGGGTTAGCAGTTACTCATATGAAAATGCGGATAGCGAATGCGATAGCAATAAGAAGGCATGCATAGCGAATCGAGTATACATATAGGGTGATACCATCGGCATAACTAGAATGAAATTTATGGGGAGAGGGTGGGCTAGCATTTCAGGCTACTTTTTTTTTTATATATAGGGCGGACTTCAAGATTAGGGGGAGCTCGAGCCCCTACCAGGCTACGCCAAATGGGTGTCACAAGCGTGATGCAGGAATTTTTGTGATTTGTTAATGCTTTTTTTACTTTTTTTCAGAAAATTTGTACCACAGGTTTTGGCAAACTTAATCATGGAGCGATGCTCAGTTTAACAACGCGTAAGAGTTATCCAAATGCCGATTCTTCGAAAATGATGTGGGTAACGGTGAACGAAGAACGTTATCGCGACTTTTATGTCCTGAATTAGTGACATGGGCTTGGGATAAAAAGTGGTTTCAACAAGACGGTGCCACTTGCCACACAGTGCATGAAACAATGACCCCAATGCGAGCATCTGCGGTCTTATTGAATCACCCTATACTTATGTACGTATGTACTAACAACTGAGTCGCGTGAACCACACATCGAGCATGCGTGGTGAAATGGGTAACAATATGTCTTTAGCAGCCTTCGATTCGCCACTTCTCTGCTCGTTTGAGTTCATCCCTGCTAGTTTAACATAAAAACTCTGTAAATGAGAGCGATTTTTGACGAGTTGTATAGTGAATGAAGTTGCAAGATTTTACCCGAACTTTTTCTGCTCGTAAATCATGAAAAGTGTCAAGCGATCACTGTTTGATGTTTTTACAGAAAAGATGATTTTTTTGTTCCCGTACTTTTACTCTCACTTCAGAGAGTAATATTGCTGTTTGACATTTTTTTTTGATTTTACACGAAAAGTATTGAATCATAGCTAAAATGTGCATATGAAAGCAACAACGAAGCCAGCTAGCAGCGATAAACGTTGGAGAGT